AATATATATATATATATATATATGGTACATATCTATACAGAATATATATATATATATATATATGGTACATATCTATACAGAATAAGATAAAGATAAAAGATAATAAAGATAAGATAAAAAACATTACTACTGTGGTGCTTTAGAAGTTAAGAGAGTTCTGATTCATCAGTGGAGCATGTATTTGCCTATAAAATCATTGGCATTTTTTGCAGGATAGGGAGTTTATAGGCAGTTTTATTTTATGTTTATTTTTAGAAACAGAAATTAGGATGCTTTCAGAAGAAAGAATCCAGCTACGTGCACAAGTGGAATTAAATATGAAAGATTTGGAACAAGCCCAGGCGCTTGTATCTTCCCAGCCATCAGAAATTAATGGTAAGTGCCAAAAGGGCTTTTTGGATAAATGGGAAATGGTCCAAATTATTTTTCACAGGAACTTACTGGATATATTTTGACTGGTTTCCTAATCCTAATCATGCTTTGTTTTCTAGGTCCCCTGTCACCTTAGACTAAGCTTGAAGCAACATTGAGTATGATATTTGGGAAGTCAAAAGTTTCTAGTTAAAATCTAAGGAAAAGTTTTATTATTAAGATGGGGCTGTTTGATCCTGGATAGATCAGAGATAATGATTGCTGATAAAGATTTCTGGAAAGTCTTTGGAAAAACATAAGTTTTAGTAGCAAACTTTAATAAATAATTTGATGGCTAATTCTGCAGTGGCTTTGAATAAATCTCAGGATGACAATCAAAGGCAGAGAATAACAATTGGACTCGATTTCTGAAGATTTGATGCTGCCAGATGTAAAGAAAAAAGGGCCTGGTTTGAGAATTGAAGGCTTGGTGGAAAGAGGAACAAACAGAAGAAACTAAGAGATGATGAAATATTGATGACTGACGCACTGGACATTTTTTTTATAGAAATATAGCACTCAATTTAATTTTTTTGGCTTAATTTTCATATTAAAAGCTTCAACACTTGAATTATTTAAAGTATGTTTTTTTTTCTTTTGATAGAGAACAGAGTAAAAGAAGTGGAAAAACAAGGGGCACTATTAGCTGATAAACTGGAGGCAAATCAACAAGAACTTGAACGTGTTAGATTCTTTGAAGGTACTTTAGCACAAGAAAATAAGTATGATATATGGAAAACATAAATTGTGATAGTTTCTTTCAGACAAAGTTTTAACAGGAATCTGATATGACCTAGTTAGTATGTCAGCTCTTTTTTCAAACCAAGCAGTGGGGAAAAGAAATGGATTGGAAAAGAGTTAGAGTGGTTCCCATCTTCCCATCTGTGTGTGTGAGAGGGAGAGAGAGAGAAATAAAAGAATGATAATCAACCTAATAACAAAATATGGATAGATATTAGGAAAGGACAGCATCTCTTTGTCTTTCCTCAGTAATAATGTTATTTTAAAACAGAAGATTAGTAGTATAGAATTAGACAGTAACATATGTACATTTCCCTCCTCAGACTTTTAAAGTATTTCTCATTTTGCAGAGAAGAAGATTGATAAACTGTCAAAAGAGAGCCTATCTTTGCTTGCAACGTTGAAATCAATTGTAAAGGAGCTAGAAGAAACTGAGGCTCTTGCAGCTACCCAACCAAGCATTATTTCTGGTAAGTAACAGTCTTTATATAAGAATAATTATAAATGTAAGACCAGTAGAAATGAAAACCAGGATATAAAGCGCAAATGAAAGATGAAGCAATGTCAGCATGGCTGCCTTTATTCTCATTGTTTTTTTCCCCAGTGAGACTGGTCTGTTAGGGCATCTTGGTCCGCCTTCCAGCCCCAAACCAGGAACTTTTGTAGGTAGTCGCTTTCACGACAAACTATTTTTTTGGGTTGAATTTATATTTACTGACAAAGAAACAAAATGGAAGCAGTATGCTCCATTCCATATTTGCGTGGACCAGGTTGCCCTGATAGACTGGTCTCACTGGGGAAGGGAGGAACACTTAATTTCTCCCCTGGTATAGCTGATAAAGTGAGGAGAGCCTGTGGCTTAGAGATTAATACATCTACCTAATATGTAAGTAGCCTGGGTTTGAATCCTAGAAGGGTATGATTAGCTGATGAGAGCTAAATAGATCTATACTAGACACTCTTTATTACTTTGACGGTAAATATAAATTCAACACTTTATTCTTAGTATTTTCGATTAATTCCATAGCAAGCACTCAAGCATAATCAGAAGTACTAAGGCTGCCCCCCCCTTTGTTAGATAGATCATATTCTTTCCAGATGCCAAACAATTATTTGAGAAATTGGAGGAGACCAGTAAAAGTTTGTTTTGCCATCACAGATTCAAGCAGTGAAAGTGTAATCAGCTGTACTGTAGAGAAAAAGAAGGGAATATTCAGACATTATGAATAGTGGCCAATGGTTATAAGTGACAAATGAGATAGAGGCATAACATTTCTAGTACTGTGAGTATTAAGACTGCATAATATGTAAAATTCAAATACTATGTTGTTGTTTCTGTTTCATGATCTCTCATAGAACTCCTAGTGAATTCTCATAGAACCTTATACTTTCATGGAGTCCCAGTTGAGAAAAGCTGCTTATGTGGTTTGCCAATGACTGGTAAATCTTATTAGGTATCTGAATGAACTAATATAGTTTCAATGGACACAATTGGCTTTTTTAAAAAAAAAACTGATTTTTTCTAGGATAAAGAATTGACTTAAATAGTTGATTCTCTTAAGCAGGAACTTTTGAGATAAATCAGTAATTGAAACAAACAAACAAACAAAAAACACCAATCAGGACTAAAAAGCACTCTTGGATGTAAAATAAGCTATAAGATGATATCACTAAAATAGTTGAGAAGATACAAAAATATCAAGGTTCTGGAATATTATATTTATGCAAAACTCATCTGAAAGATTTATTTCTGAAAGAAGGATATAATAGTCACTACCAACTGAAAACAATATTTGTAGGTCAGGGAGTCCTTGGTGTTCTCTCAGCTTTATTGTTTTCTTGCAGATGTTTCATTACCCAACTAGGTAATATCATCAGCGCACTGAAGTAGTGTAATCATTCTAGAATCCAAGAGCTGGTAGATATGGGGGTGTTATGCAAACTGCTTCCAGTATTCTGTTAAAATCATTTTTTCTGCAATATGTCTGCTCTGCCAAAAAAGGGGAAGCGGGAAAGAGAAAAAAGCAAGTAATTCTGTAAACAATCTCTCTTTTTACCTGAGCTTTTCCAACAGTTGATGTGATCACATTGCTTTCAATGTGTAGAAGTGCAAACAGCTTATTCTCTTGAAATTTCATCTTCTTTAGTCTCTCTGTTATGTAGATAGTGGGTATGGAGTCAGACAAAGGAGCGATTAATACCTAAATTGATATGTGATATAGCTAGGAAATCACTAGGATTACTATGATTAACTGACTACCTTATTTTCAAGGCTCCAGGTGTTTCTGACACTGCAACCATAATAAATATAAACCAGTTGCCAAGAATCTGAATTTTGATCACGTGATCACGGAAATTCTGAAATGGTTGTGTGAAAAACAGTCATAAGTCACTTTTTTGGTGTCATTATAACTTTGAATGTTCACTAAATGAACTCTTGTAAATCAAGGACTACTTGTACCATCTCTAGAAGTAAGATGAAAAAAAAGCCCTTCTTCAAAAATACCTGAAGATTATTGATAATTCCCAGCTGTAAATACTGAGCACCATAGCCTGTATGGTTGAGATCTAGACACCAAACCATTTCTACTGCTAAAACACTTGTAAAAAAGGATTTTGACATTCACAGCACTGGATAGAAAGAACATTGGGTAAACCCCCCCCCCCCCCAATGTCAAAGCTTTCCCTTCATCTTGAAAAAGGCTACCTGGATTTGACTAGCCATTTGTGATATGGACAACATTGATCCAAGTTCACACTGGTCATAGATGACCTCTATAAGTGATGCAAAATACCATCACCAAATTGTGACTCAGGGACTGAAAAATTAGGTAGTGAGGAATCGAGATTTTGTTGATTTTCTTACTGCAACAAATGAAGTAAAATTATATTTGCAATTTAGATATATGTTTGTGTATCCTTTTTATTGAAATATGATGTGAGTATGTCATAGAATAAACAAATAAAGGAGAGATTGCTTATAGAAGTCAATTTTTTTTTTCTGGTAGAGAGATTGGAGGGAAAGGGATTTCAAGAGTACCAGAAACTTTTTGTGTAACATACCTATGATTCTTAGCCCTGGACTGCAGCATGATTGTATTGCTTTTTACGTGTACAAAACAAGAAGCTGTCACTTAAGCATTCTAAAAGATGGAGGAATGGTTAGGATGCAAAGAAAAATTGAAGCTGTGGAACTGAGGTAGCCTTGTTTCTTTCCAGCCAGAGAATACAGTTGTGATCATGTGATTTCCCACATAGCAACTGCTTCACTTAGTGGCAGAGTTGCACCAATTAGAGTTGTTAATTAAGGACTACTTGTATCTTTATTACATACTATTCAGGTAATGTATTTTTAAAATGAATTATTGGGGACATAACAATTTATTTAGTTAAAAATTAATATTTTACAACACAGTGAAAGCAAAATGTAGAAGAAAATATCTGTTTCCACAGATTTAAAAATAAAAGAATTAACTGAATTAAAAAATGAAGTGACTGAGCATTTAGAGCAAAATCTGCAGAATATGCAAAAGGCATGGTCTTATGCTCCAGGACTTACAATTGAAAGCAGACTTCAAGGTGAGTTTATCAGATGTACACAAAGAGCTGTTGTTGAGATCACATCTCTTGTTGAGAACAATGAAAAATTCACAAATATACCTTTAAAACTATATAATCAAAAAGTCATATATTCAGGTAAATAAATATATGCAACTAACATTTTCTTATTAAGAAAGCCCAATCTTTGGAGTTTGGAAATTGTAGAGTTGTACAGTTGACTCATACTATTCAACTGTACAACAAACGTTTATGCCATTGTTGGAAAGATGATACTTTGGATACTTTAGAACAACAACCTCTGAACATTTAACCAAAGCAATTGCCCTCTTCTCTTGAAAATACTTTTTTTTACATTTTGAATGTGCTATATGGAGAGATCATAAGATTATTACAATCAGTTATTGTTCTGCGTTGGAATGTCACTGTTTGCTCTTTGTGTATTTCAGTGCCACCTCACTTTTCTTGTTATTTCTCTTATTAAACCAAATTTAACCTTTCATATAGTTGAATTAGTTTTAAGAGACTATATTATTCTTGAAAATGTCAAATTAAATCAACTAGATTTTAAGACCCTGCATACTTTTGGGTTTACTCTGATAGTTAATTCTATTTCTTGGAATTGTATTTTACTATCTTGAATCTTTGGATAGATTCAATTAATGTTTTTGTTAAAAACTCAGTCTTTAAAAAAATATAGTTATATTGAGATTTTATATACCTAATTGGAAATAATTTTGCTGTAGTGACATTTTTTATCTTAATATTTGATTGCCATCTTTGAAAACAACAATCATAACTATCAAATCAAATAAATATTTGGAAGCTAGACATTGGAAAAAGGCAGAGAGGAGGAACATTAGTAAACTCATTTTTATACAATAAAATAAACGTAATAAGAAGGAAGATTAGAAATTGATTGATGGTAGTATTATGTATGCTTAAACAATATTGTGATTGGCATTGGAATAACATATTGAAAATGAATAATTAAATAATGAAGGTCTATAATTTAATAGAAATATGTTTATTAAGAACTACATAAACTTAAGGAATGTAACAAATGTGATTAGTAGCACTATTTTTATTTGTAATCAAGTGTATGATACCCTGATGCCAGACTGTTCATGTATTGAGATGGATATATTGTAAAAATAAAAAACTGGGGAAGAAATGGCAAATAAATATTGATATTGGCATTCTAGTGGACCATTTTAAAATTTACATACAGTCTGTAAACTAGAAGTAATATTTATAGTTTAAAAAAGGATTCATCGTAACACAAATAATTTTTCATAAAAAATTTGGTAATATTAGATATTTCACTTTTCTACCATACAAATGCGGAGATTGAACAACTATTTGCCTGAAATGATATAAGCTTTCCTGCTTGAGCAGGGGGTTGGACAATATGACCTCTACTGTCCCTTATGTTTTGGGGTAGTCCCTCAATAGAAAAATGTAAGCAGGGCTGTTTACTTTGATAGATGAACTTTACTTTGGATGATGGTCATTTTGATACTTTAGGTAGCCTCTGCTTATTGATAGATCAGGATAGATCCTCTAAAAACAAAATTCAATTACTATTTTTATTATACAATCAATCAATCAATCAATCAATCAATCAACCCTTAACCATTGAATGTGATGGCTCAGAGGTTAGACACTGAGCTAGTCAAGTGGCAGCGAGGGTTCGAGACCTGAGCACCATGCAATGGAATGAGCTAGCTTCTGTTCACATAGCACTTCAAAAACATGCAAATGTTTGTAGAATAATAGATACCATTTTGGTGGGACGGTAACACTTTTGTTTATAACCATGCTGGCCACATGACCACAGAAAATGCGTTTTGACAATATTGGCTCCCTTGGCTAAGAAATAGAAATGAGTACCCTGCCCCAGAGTCAGACTGGACAGGGGAAACACTTATCTTTTTCCTTTGTTTTCCTTTGCCCTACAATATTTCTTTTTTAACTTCTCATTTTAGTCTTGCCTAGTGTGAGCAAAATACTTTAATTTACATTTCAGCTTCAGTTCAATGAGAAGAAAGCTAGAAATAACTTGTGTGACCAATTTTTGCAAAATATAAATCTGAGAAGAAAGTTAAAAAAAAATCCTACTTATTTGGAGGGAAAGAAGGGGTAAGGGTAAACAATTACATTAAGTCTGAAGATCATTGCAGCCAAGTCCGAATCTTAAAATAAATGTAATAGTACTTCTTATTAAGGCCAGTTCTGCTATTTGCAGAAAAGGAATTAGAGGAATTGCATGAACTATCCGAACTGAAGAAACAATTACTGGAAACACTGGAATCTAATAAGAAAGCACTACAAGAAGTTCAAGACCTTGCAGCTGCCCAGGCTTGCAGTGTCAATGGTATGTGCGCTCTCTCTCTCTCTCGCTCTCTCTGTGTGTGTGTGTGTGTGTGTGTGTGTGTGTGTGTGTGTGTGTTTAAATATTTACTGGTAAATGCAAATATATATTTGGAATCAATTATAATGGTGTTTTTAGAACACCAGTGTTAAAATCCTGTAATAAAATGAGTTACATTCTTGAGAATATAGACAGAAACACCATCCTGCTAAAACCGTTTAATAATGTTAATATCCATTCTCTAGTATAGGAAATGCTCTCTTTAATCTTGTGAATTGGGGAGGTGTGAATTTATTCCAGTTGGAAGTGACATCAGAAATTCTAGACACATATGAATCAGGGAGACAATATTAAAAGATGAAAATGTGCAACATATTGTAACTTTTATGTTAAATAATGTTCCATTATGGATTTTTTATAGAGCATATGTTACAGGAATTAACTGAGCAAAGAAGTCATTTGACTATAGATCTGGAGGCAACACTAGATGGCATACAAGATGTATGTCATCGACCTGCAAAAAGAAATACATTTATACAACCTTCTGGTAAGTAGAGAAGTAAAAGTGTTAGAAATAAGTGCCTTAGATACTCAAATTAAGTATGTTCATCTTAAAATGGTCTTCTCATATTCACAGTAAGAATAGTCAAGGAGTTTTCTTTGTTTTTGCAAGCTGTTTAAGTGAGAAATAAGAAAATAATACTCACAATTATATTAAGAAAATTTCTCTTTGCAGAAAAGGAATTGTATGATTTACACAAACTATCTGAAAAGAAGGGACAGTTACTTGAAATGTTGGAGTCTAATTGGAGAGAGCTAGAAGAAGTACAGGAATTGGCAGCTATTCAACCCAGCAATATTACTGGTATATGAGCTATGGAATCAAATATTTAATCAAAGATATGCTAAATGCTTTATCGGGAAACCTTTTCAACTTCAAAATGGTGAATATATTGGCATTATAAAAATCGGAGTTTGGATCAGGGAATTTTTCATCTGAATTCAAATCTGAGCTTTGTAGCTTTATTTCTGGCATATTATTATTTTAAGGGAAAGGGAAAGATGCATTGAAACATATCCTCAGTTCTGCTGGCATTCTCAGCATAACAGCATTATGATCCCATAATCAAATTGGATTACAATCCTGAGATTATGGGCAGAAACAATATTCTTCCAAAACCTTTTAACATTTTAATATTCATTTTGAGATGTATGAAATGTTGCACAATTTAATCATTTGTGAATGGATAGAGGTTTGGAGAGAAAGGATTCATTCCATTTGGGAAGTGACACCAGAAATATTAGATACAAGCTAATAATTATGCTTTTGAAATCTAAATAATAATGATCTTAATTATTTTTATACATATACATAATTATTAATTTTTTAGCATATAAGTTGCAGGAGTTAACTGAGCAAAGAAAACAGGTGACCACAGAACTGGAAGCAACTCTAGATGGTATTCAAAATATATGTCGTCAGACTTCAGAAACCAGTACATTTACACAGCCTTCTGGTAAATAAAATATATTACTAAGAATTTTAGAAAAAGTAGCAATAATTATACATATTGTTTTCATATTTTAAATCTAGTAATCAATGGAATCAGTGAGCTATAAGAATGAGAATGGTCGGAGTTCTTTCCATTCCATATTTCTATTCAAATACATTTGAAATTCCAGGGTACATACATCATTATTTTTAAAATTATAATTTTTTAAAAAATATTTGTCATTTATATTTATGAGTATTTTAAGCAGAAATTGTGTCAGTACTGGACCCCATGGAACCCCTCTTTGGTTTTTAGTATAATAAACTATTTATCTGACAAGCCCTTTATTTCATTCTATTTGATACCATTTAGCTCTGGTGAAATGCTGTGCAAATAATTATGAATAATTGAGATAAGGTTTTATTCATATTTTGAAAACTCACCTTAAAATATTTGAATTTTCTGTACTTCTTTAGGAAGCATAAATCTTCAGTTTTCTTTCTGGATCAGTTTATTTGCATTATTCAATATAAAAAAATCCATCTCTGCCCATTTTTACATTTACATTTTCAGTTTCTGAAATAAATTATATTTATTTATATAATATATATAATATATAAATTATATTTTATTTATGTTTGTCTATTGATTGGTGTTCTATTCCACAGTCCCCAATAATCAAGGAGAAAATGTTCTACATATTGTGTGTCTTCTGGTGACTATATAAAAAAATACTTACTATATCAACTTGGCTTCTGAAATATTCAGATTAAGTATCTGTACCCTAAATGTCTTTTAGATATTCAAAAATGGTTTGTGAGCAGCTTAAAAATATTACTGAAGAGGTTGCTTATAAAGTTTCTAATTTCAGAAAAGGAGATATTTGAGTTGCATGAACTGACTGAGAAGAAGCAGCAATTACTGGAAGCGCTAGAATCTAGTGAGAAAGAACTACATGAAATTCAGGAGCTTGAGGCTACCCAACCAGGTAGCATCAATGGTATGTTTTTGTAGTCATATGAAGCTTGAATTAAAAACTAATGCTTTCAATTTTAGAAGTCACCACTGGATGGCAGTATTAGATATTTTGATGTATTTTTTTAGGGTTTGCTCTTTCTATTGCTGAGAATGGCTAAGAGTATTGCTTATTACAAACAAAAGTCTACACTGCTCTGACTGAATTTTTGACTGCTGAAGAAGCCATCATTATGACCCAGAAACAATGACTCTATTAATCCATGAAACATTGTCACAAAGTTTCACTTCTTTTTTTTAAATGAAAACCAGGTTTTAACAAGAAAACTCAGTTATGTTTTTGAGGGGACATTGTGTTGAGAGAATCCTTTTGGGCCCCCTTTCTTTCAAACTGGGAGAAAATGTGGACAAAGAAGATGTGAGGTGTCTTATTTGCTTTAGAAAATGGCGTCCATTTATTTCCAAACAGCCAACAACAGCTATTTTGGGGGATAGCTAGCAAATGAATGGTGATCTTTCTGTTTGATTTTTGAGTCATTTTTTAAGCATGTTGATGTGTGTGTGAGTATGTACTTCTTTTGTGTTGTTGTGACAACGCAATATTTCAACTTGTTGCAATTTCCCTTTTTGTTTAAGGTGACCAGATTTGGTAAAGAGGGACACCTTTGACCGGGGGGGGGAGGGGCTTGATTAAAAATTTTATATGGAGCAACAAAATTTTTCATACAACGCAAAAATTGCATTGTAATATTTTTTATTTCAACATAACTACAATTTACAAATATAAATTGTAACTATTGCCAAACATCAAAATTTTGATCACGTGACCATGAGGATGCTGCAACGATCGCTAAGTGTGAAAATGGTCGCTAAGTCTGAAAAATGGTCATCAGTCACTTTTTTCAATGCCATTGTAACTTTGGTCACTATACCATCTTTCTTGCCATAGTTCTTTTTTTTTTTTTAAATTTTTTAAAAAAGATTTTATTGGTAAAAAGAAAATACAACATCCATAACTTGTAAAAAACAATACAACTACATTTCGA